TTCAGTGGCAGTTTGTGTTCCGCTGCTGCGAAATCAGCCCACCAACTTGGGTGTCATGGGAAACTCCATGCTTTCTGCTGGTGCTGAATCAATCGCTATTCAAGCAGCGAATATAGAAGATCATTAGTGCGAAAATTTCACTTACAAAATTTTCGTCGCAGGACAAGATCTGTGAGTGTCTCCTCTAATTCATTCACATCACAATCTGTGAACCCCAACTATCCACCAGCGAAGGCTGTAGACACTGTGATAAAACATGAGAAAAGTGAAGCTCCCATCAAGGCCATCCGTGACGCAGAAGTCGTCCTCGCAGGCTATATCTCTGAGTAACCTGAAGAAACGATGAACAAATCCATTAAGCACCGAATTACGACCCACAGACACATCGACCACCCCTATACCGTCCAGCCGGAAGGTTCACTTCACACTCTTTGCTACTCAGCGGACAATCACTCAAGCCTTCGAAATGACGGAATTCGAACCCGAAATCTCAAAACAAGTATTCAGGGTAGCAAAGCCCACATTGGACGACCTCCGATAGGTTATGGCCCGGACGTGTACAGCTCAGTCGCGACGCCAGAACGCACAGATTGCAAATGCTCATATCTGGTACCGAAGCCGCTGCACTTCCGAAGGAGAAAGCCCCCAAAGAAGAGGAGGAGGTCAAATCCGGTGAAGATGCCCAAAAGGAACCGAGTGAAGGAGGCGAAAAAGGAAACAAAGATACCTTCGATGCCAAATTCGATTTGGCTCCACAATGGAATACCCTCAAAAACGTCGTCAACAGATACAAGATGGCCACACTTACAGAGTTCATCAGACAGAATGACCATACGGATTTATGGGTCGTGGGGCCATTGAACAGAGCTATCGAAAATGGGCAGAAGCTTGAGGAGTATTTGAAAGCGACGGAGGAGAATATGTTGGAATATGATGACGATATGCTTGAAGAGGAGGAACGTGTAGAGGCCAACAGAGCGGATTGGGTGGACGATGTGAAATCCGCGTTGTTGGATTTGGAAAGGTATGAAAACGGTGCGGTGTATAACGGTGCTTGAATGTGATGGGAAGAAGCCTCAAGATACGTAAAACAATACGTGTAGAGTAACTTTTAGGATATGCATATAGAATAGAGAAAAAGACATGTAAAATATCCACAACCCCAGCCCAACCTGTTTTATAAGAGCAAGAGAAGAGCAATGGTGGGTTACATCGACGAGACTGCCGAGTGCTTATTCATGTGATGCTCCAGGAGGGCAATTCTTGCACGCGCATTGTGCAGAGTTTCATTCGATCATTCTTCTGTTCACGACGCCATGACCTGTTCCTCCTCAGTAATCTCGGCACTTTTAAGTGCGGTACCAAATCCTTAAGCTAAACTGTGTGAAGCCGAAAGAGGTGCAGCCTTGATCAAGATCGAGGATGATGACTCACATATTCTCCACGTATTATGATATGGATGTAATCCCAAGCTAGGTGAATAGCTAGATGCCGTCATGCTTCGAGAGCGTGGTGACAGGGCAAAACACCAAAATAAAAATATATAAAAAAATGAAACCTGACGCCACGAAATTGATATACCAGAATTGACCTGACATTGAGGAAACCAATCTCGACAATTGAGTATATCATCAGCTTACCATTACAAGTTGGGGGACAGGGTGAAGCTCAAACACTTTCTCCTAACATCACCGTAACGATGTGCACACCTAACGATATCACGACCAAAGCCTTCTGCACCGCCCTCGTAGACCCCATGGCAAAACCCCAGGCACTTGAGGAGTTACTGAAAACGCGCGACAGAATGCTGAAAGACCGAGACTCAAGTCTTGGATCCGAGGTAGCGGCCGCTAGCAAATACGACGATCATAATCGACTGAGCGTCGACACGACGATTTACGATGAGATGGTGAACGTAGCTGCAATATACGCGGACAAAGAGTATGGAGAGCCGAACTCGGACACTGAGAATATGCTTGTCAAACCTGTCTTAGGTGAATTACTTGGCGTGGAAGGGGTCGTCGATGGCGCTCTCAAATCCTTGGAGGTTCAACTGGTTCGCGCAAAAACGAGCACCGGTACAGAGCGGGCCGATTTCGAGAATAGAATTCGCATGGAAACGATCCGCATTTGGCGTGCTGGGACGACTATGTTGAGACTCTCGATATACTTGGCAGTGAATGCGGCGTTAGCTGGAACGCTTATGCAAGTTGGAATGTAGATATCCACCACCACCCCCTCCATGCCACACAATGAGAGCAAAAGAAGGGGAAGAACGCGTCTCGTTTCCGAGTTCATATCGAGTTGGTATAAGCACTTCTTGGCACTGACCACAGTCATGAAGAGGACAGGGTAGCAATTTGACATCCGTGCTAAGTAGAAGATGAGCCTATCCAATGATTCTCTCGTAGCTACAAAATGTGACCGCCCGAGTGTAAAAAATATTAGACAAAGAGAGATGGAATGAAACATGGTGGATGACGGCCTGAATTATGTGTCCATAAGCTGTACGAAGGGTATGCACAATCCATACGAAACATGGCAGACCAGCCGTGAAAAGGGGCCGGCGAAATATTAGTCCTAGAATATAGGAAAGACATTACCTTTAGTATCTTTATACAAGTAATTACCTCCCCAAAGTCATATCAAACCAGCATGAGCTCCCCATATTTATCTTACAATTCACCATGGCCAACGATCTTTTTCCCGCTAGGCACCCCACCCGCCGGCGGAAAAGGCTTCCCCTCTCTCAAAGAATTGAGCACAAGATCGAATCTCGCACCAGCCATCCATGCAATACCGAGCTAAAAGTTCATTAGCAAAAGCTAGAAAGGTGCATAGGAGAATACACACCATAAACACTGTAACAAGGAAGAGAGTAGCTAGAACGGCAATGGACATGTAGATCATGTCTTGTCTTGCTTCCCGTGCGTCGGCATCGGCACGGGCTTGGGCTTCGGGGGTGAGTTGGGCAGCTGTTTGTACTGGTTGGCCAGGTTGTTGCGAGGGGAAGATTGATTCTATGAATTGTTCAATCTGTGTATCAAGTTAGCTTCTATGCGCTCATTCTTATCATTAACAAATTAGTGAAATAAACTCACCTTCCCACAAGCAATGCTAATCTCCAAGAAATTAGGATCCCTCGGATCATTCTTCTTGGAAATCTTGCGCGCAAACTTCCTAAATGCCCCACACAACGTCCTCAAATCCTGCGTACTCTCCAACATAAGCGCACAAGCCTGTCCCTTTGAAATCTTGACATTTCTTTGGAAGAGATTAGGAGTCCTGAAGCAGACATCAAGAGTCGCAATAGCCATGGACTGCGGTATAGCGCAGAAATTGAAAATGCTCTGATCGCGTAATCCAGCGAGGTAGAATAGGCAATCCGGGGCACGTTTCAAGGCATTGAGGACCATTTCCGAACTGCATTGCATGGCTTTTTCCTTGTTGTCAGGGTCGAGAAGCTCTTCAAAGTTGTCGACGTATTTCGACCAGATCTCTTTGGGGTAGAAGCGGCGCTTGTCTTCCCAGTCTTCGCGGATGTCGCGTATGATATTGACTTGCTGTAAGAACTGACCCATGGATTCGTGGAGTTCTGGCCGTCTGAGTAGAGTTGGGTTTGCGAGGTCTGCCGTCACGAATAATTTGGTCAGGCCTTCCCCTACCAGCCCAGCAACGTGATGGCAGTATTCTTCGTAGTCTGCGATCGTTTGCACACCATTTTCAATGTGTTCGACATTGTTCGCATACTTGGCCATGCCATCACCCATGCGCCTTGTAATATCCTTCAAAATCTTCTGATACTCCGGTTTGAGTTTTTTATACTGTGAAATCACATAGTGAAACTCGACCAGTAACCCGCGATCCTTTTCCTTGATGTGATTTCCATCGTACGACCACCCATCTTTGTCTAATATTTGATCGAAATTGCGCAAGAGTGGTTCCTTCTCCGCGAGATCGATTGTCATGTCATCTTCGATGGTGTCGAGGCCGCGTAAAATGAGGTAGAAGACGCAAACTGGCATAAGAAGTTCCGGGTGCAATTCCTTAATTACGGCGCTGAAGCTGCGGGAGGTGAGGTCGAGGAATTCGAAGCATTTCCGTTCTTCGGGCGTTTCTTTTGCTTCATTACGTTCGTGAACGGGATTATGCCATACTTTCCTGGATAATTCTGTTAGGAGGTTATAGTTGGATTATACAAACATGCAGTTACCCACCACTGAATTATTGCTCGAAGTTCTGATGGATGAAAGAGGTAGTAGAGCGTTTCTGCCGCTTTCCCCATGACGTTTATTCTGCAACCGGAAAAGATTTTGGAGTCTGTCAATGACAACAGCTGCAGAAAATCCCGCGATATGGAATTGGACTGATTGCTCTGGAGAATTCGAGAATTATTGTACTTGGAAAGAGGAGTTCGGGAAATCTTAATAACTCCCGCCTCCGCTCTAACCCGTTGTGGTAGCATCCTTGGCGGGCCTCGTGTGTAACCCCTTTTTTCGGTAGCAACACAAACAACACACTCCGATTTCAACTCGGTCGTATTATTTGTGATGGGGTTTCCAGCTATCTATGACGGAGTGATCGATTCTGATCAGCCTCCAGGCCGACTGATACTTTTGAAGAATAGACCAAAGCCACAGCTTCCTATGTGTCCTCTGGAGACATCTCAACCTCTAAAACGGATGGAGCAACCCTGTACTCCCGATTCCAAGTTATGCTTCATAGTTAACACAAAAAAACAGTTGGTTTCTACTGGCTGATATTTAGGGCAGCTGATGTAATGGCGGTTTTCGACCATTAGGCTTATATAAGTGCGGTGATCAGTCGGGTGTGATTAAAAATACCCATAATTAGGAGGATCATGCCCAAAAATGCAAGATCAGCCTAAGTTGATGTCATACCTACACCCTGATTATCCGTGAAATTGATCTTTTTTTCCGTGACAGCTATGAAGCACCACTTGGGATCACTCGGTGGAAAAATCAAAAAAGATACTCCACAGGGCCTGCCCGGACTCGAACCGGGGACCTAGAGATATTGGCTTTACTGCAATCTCTCGATCTAACCGCTGATCTACAGACCCGTTGGGTAACAGTTTTTCGTGGACAATGACTCACATACAAGTGCTGTGCAACGATCAAGGCTGCAAAGGAATGCTTCGCAAGATTAAGAGGCCGCCCACCTTTGCGGCGCACCGTCGAATGTCAATTCAGGCGCCCTTCCAGAATTCCAAAGGATTGCGAAGTCGGTGGATAGTCCTACTTTCTCTCCTCAGCTTGCAAAACCCATCGTGAGACGAAAATTTCACTGGACTGACTTCAGTAAAACTCAAACAGGTTACTTCACCCTTCGTATTTCGCCTTGAACCCTACAGTAAGTCTTTCGTTAGAACTATGGACAAGAAGAGTCTGGAGTGCGAATATTCTGCCACACATGTTCTCGCCTTTCTCATATAACCATTCCTTGGAACGATAGCGCATCTGGGAGATGGACAATGGAATCCCAGACATGACCAAGCAAGACTATGAGACAGATACTGCACCTGAAGTATATGCTACTTCAAACGAGGGTGGTGAATTTGATTCTGTCGACAGTTCCAAACATATTGGTTGCCTGTGAAGCTTGAACGAAAAATTGATCACTCTTTCAGATAGCATAGAGATAGCTGAGAGATGTCTAGTAAACGATAGACTGGGCTATATCGAACTCGACGCTCTTCTCTAAGCCACGCCTTCCCATTCTCTGAGATTTCCCGACTCCGTGAAGGTCAGTAGAATACAAAGACCCACTAAAAGGAGCGGGTCTCGCTGGGGCGCAGTTGACTCCTATTCCGAGCTGGTATACTATACCCTTTCTGGCTAGCACAACACCAGGATTCTCGCTATCAAGCAAATTCCTCGTACAGTAGTCGTATCATTTGGTTGTTAGGAACTACTAGAAGCCCAAGTTATAAAGCAGCGTTGATTCCTCGAATCTCTTCCTTTGAACAACAATAGAAACAACAACAAAAATCTCGCCATGGCCTACACACTCGAGTCCCATAATGGCTATTACCTCTTCGATTTCAATCCCACTCTCATTGGGGCAATCATAGCAACAATACTGTTCGTTGTTGTCTCGGCTTTGCATCTTTGGCGTATGGCTAGAGCACGTTGCTGGTACTGCATACCATTCGTTCTTGGTGGCATTTGTAAGACACAATTGGAATACCTTATGCAGTCACTTTACTAACCTCACATCTAGTCGAGATTGTTGGTTATGCTGCCAGAGCTGCTGTTCACAACAATACCGGAGAGCTCATAACCTTCATCATCCAGAACATCTTTCTTCTGGTAGCTCCCGCACTCTTTGCTGCCTCGATCTACATGACTCTCGGTCGTGTTATGCGCAATATCGAAGCCGAACACTTGTCGCCAATCCGAGTGACCTGGCTCACGAAAATCTTCGTCATTGGAGATGTTCTGTCCTTCTTCGTTCAGTCTGGTGGTGCTGGATACCAAGTCAAAGCCAAAAACGCAAGTGATACCCAGATGGGACAGAACATCATCTTAGCTGGGCTCGCCATACAGATAATAATGTTCTTCATTTTCGTTGTCGTCATTTTCATATTCCAACGAAGAGTAAAGGAATCTGTACCGAATGAAGCTGGGAAAGGTTCCAGTTGGAACACTTGCATCAACATGCTTTACGCTACGAGTTTGCTCATCCTGATCCGAAGCTTTTTTCGCATCATCGAATACGGTATGGGTAAGGAGGGCTACCTGTTGCAGCACGAATGGCCGTTGTATGTTTTCGATGGTATTTTGATGTGGTTAATGATGGTTGTCTTCTTTTGGTGGCATCCTACGACGATGTTGGCAGTCCGCCATCACGGTGATCTTGAGTTTTCACCTATTGGCGATGGCCATCCGGAGTTACGAGAGCGAGCGGGCAATTGATGAATAAAGGGAGCGCGTGGAGTTCAAGATTGTTGGGATGGATTAACCTTAGACCAATAGATAGTAAATAATTCTGTTTGTACTAAAATCCACTTGCTGATGGTTGACTGGACGCGTTTGCTGTAGTGAGGATCAAGGACGACTCACGCTAGTAAGGATTCTCGTACCAAGATCTTAGCGCTAGCGCCACATCCGCAGCACGCATCACGTCCAGGATTCTCGTATGCAAACGAGCTGCACTTACATGGCATGAATATAACACCGTGAAATGCTACAATAATGCCGACAAGAGCTGCTCACACAAAGACCCGTAACGGATGTCTGAGATGCAAGCAAAGGCGAGTCAAAGTGAGTCTTATGCCTTCCTATTTTATGGCCCTGTAACCGTTAGGATTAAAAGTCAAGCTCGCATACCACTTGCAACTGATGCTTACACTATCTAAAGGTTTATGTGATAACGTGCTGACCTTGATCATAGTGCGATGAGGGACAACCATGTCGAGACTGCCATCGCCGGAATGAATTTTGCAACCTTGTTACTGACCCACGATATGTCGCCAGCTTCCATAATGGCAGCTCGGCTTCCCCTTCGTCATTCACAGCTGAGGCAACGTCCATCCGCCAGCTGAGCACAGCATCCCCTGTAGCTTCACCGCGGCAACAAGATAATCAGTTCTCCTCTTTCTCCACAGTGCAGTCTGCTGTGCTTTCCAGTGTGCCTTCCACGGAATGGGCCGAAGATCTTCATCTGATGGCACATTGGACCATCGCAACATGTCAAACATTGCACAGGCAGCCACACGTCGCAACATTGTTCCAGAAGACCGCTCCAGAATTAGCACTCGAGCTCCCCTCTATGATGCATATGATGCTTTCACTCTCTGCTTTACACTTGGCATATCTTCGTCCCTCTGAACACAAGAAATATACTACCATATCAATGAGGCATCATCACTCTGCTACGCAGCAATTTCAGGGTACGATCCAGAACATTACAAAAGACAACTTTTTGCCTATCTTCCTGACTTCATCGCTGCTGTCCGTGTCCTCGTTGGCAAACATCAATGTCACTGCGCATTCTCTCTCTTTGGACGATATAATCGCGGTGTTCATCATGACACGGGGAACGCGAGACATCCTAACCCCTGCGCATGACCGGCTGAATGACCCAGTGTTGTATCACCTGCTAGAGCCCCTCATGGAAAGAAATACACTGAATACAAACGAGGACCATGAGATTCCGTACGAGTTAGCAGAGAGATTGAAATTGCTCCGCACGGACTTGCTAGAAAAGCACACTTATGATTACGACTCCAGTAAGGAGACATGCCTCCATGCACTGCGTGAACTCGAGGACGTCTTTCTTACTGTGGTACATCTTCCGACCGAGGATGGAGAGTCTCTTGGCACTGATTACAGAAAACGGATTGACCTCGAATTGGGCGTACTAATGAAATGGCAGACAGGCGTAAGTACAACATATGTCAATCTACTGAAACAGAGACGAGTTGCTCCGCTTGTGCTGCTTGTACATTGGGTTATGCTATTTAGGCACCTAGGAAAACGGTGGTTCCTCGACGGGTGGATTGAAACAGCTTTCAGGCTAGTAAGAGACGCATTGGAAAAGAGAGATCGCCACTGGTTGCTCTGGTCGGAGGAGTATGTAAAGAATTAGCGCTTCGAAGACAATGCCCACCGCATTACCTAATCGAGAGACCCCAAACTGGAGATTCATGTCAATTTAATGATCAGCCCCCTCTTCGCTCAGTGTAAGTCGTGGTCCCAGCTTTGCAATGCTCACATACTAAGATTAGTGTTCTTAGTGTGGATCGACACGTTCACAAGGGGAGAATATCTTTCCGAAAGGTATCAGCGATGATCCACTTAGCGAGAAGCCCTATAGCGACTGCGCAGACTTCATGATTAGGGAGCCAAATTGTTCAATGAAGAAAAGGGTTAAAGAAACTGAGAAACCAAGACCAATATACACTACACTGCCCCACGCGAAAGCATGCGGTGCGGAAATGTTGGGCGAATTTTGAAATAACTTGAGTGGGGTGGCTTCTGAGCATGTTATTGACCCGCCAGCCCATCCTTTGAAGCCACTGCCGATTGATCTCACGCCGATTAGGTTCACGCCTATGGGCAAGACAGTAGGTCCGGTGACAATGGGTGGGAAGTTGCTTTGACCCCTTTGGGTGGGGGTTTGACAAAGGCGATTTCGACCGGCCAGCAGATCGCAGCTGTTCCGAGCAGAGGCCCGTATGCTTACGAGCAGGCGAGTTGTTTCCATCCGCATTCACAGGGCAGAATACATTTTTGCACATTTGCGCAAAGGCTCTTGATGCTACTAGAATGATTGCGAAGCTGGTATCAACTACTGAGATAAGACCGGTGCTGAGATAGTAGCTGAAGGTTCGATATTAGCTTCACTTTATTCACAAAGAGCAAAAATGTTCGGAAAAGAATTAGACATGACCGAGCTTAGGGACCCAAACAGGAATATCATGGTAGGTTCTCAAAGTTCGGAGACCACATGCGAGTAATGGAAAATGAAATAGAGGCTCTTACGGGGTCTTATAGATATTGAAAAGTAATAATTGAATAATCATCGGTATGGTTGTCTTTCTCATTATTCTAACATTCCTATAATATACTAGTAGGCTGGCAACCCTATGAAAAGACCTTTACTCGGCTTATATAGTTGCTATCGAGCTATCATCGCCGAAGGCTACGAAATCGTGGTCGCAGAGTAAATACCATCTCGTACTCTTCTAGTTCTCCAGAGACGCGATGTTTCTCGCAGCCCACGTAGAGTGCATTTGACTCGGTTAGTGAGGGCGCACTACTAGAGAAGGTACTGGTTGTAAAATTCCGTTGGTAAATCATTTTGCAAGTTACCGCTGAGTGGATACTGACCAGATTTAGGATGTAGTTGGTGTTTTCCATTAGCATTGTAAGAAGTCACTGTGGCTTCCCAATGCGCGGCGATGGGGTCCGAATTCTGCTTGTGTTAAGCATAACACCTCAATTCTCGTGAACTTTCAGTCACGCTGCCTGCTCAAACGGGAAACACTGTCAAAGTTTAAGGGTTTAACACCGCGAGTAAGCGTAACACCTAGCTTCCCTCTCCTAGTAATGGTAT